AAGCCAAGAGATAGAGAGGTCCATCTACATGAGTCATTTTAAGAAACTCTTTCAAAACTCTGTGGAGAACTTCTCTCTACCTTTCCAGTGGAGGAAAAGTGAATCCGACATGGGTGTCAGACACTGGCTGGGAAGTCCAAGGTGCTTGTCTGTCACATTCCCCAAAGGAATGCTCTGCCCACTAGCCCCCTGCAGCTGTGATGATGGAAGAAGGAAATTAGAAGAAAGGTCCCATTATAAGCCCATGAACCAAGAGAGGTTCCAGATCATTAAAATGCTGAGTGACTGAGAGAGCCTGGAGAGGGAGAGAGTACTGAGAAGAACATCTTATAAAGCCAAAGCTCTGGTTAGAAACCTATTCAACAAGAGTTCCTCACAGGACTGGGAATCCTAGAACAGATAGAGAGGTCTCTAAGTGCAGACACAGTAAGAACAAGCCCAAAAAAGGACACTGAGGTGTGTTCTTTAAAAATATCATTTGTATATTCCTCTCAAATAAGACTTCACAGAGGTGAAGGGCAAGAGGAAAAGCCACAGGGTTCAGACAAATACTTCTTGTTAGTAGCTGTGTAAGGGACATCTCTACCACTTTCTGTGTTAAGTAGCATCTATCGTCTACTACCCTTTGGAATATTCAGTGTTTTACTGTTGCCCTGATCAAGAAGAATTTAGCAGAGGGGTGGGCTGAGGGACAATAGAAAATGTCTCTTATTTGCAAGTCCATGCTTGGGGTGAGGGACTGCATGCACCAGTGGAGTAGACTTAGAAAATGATGTACACAGATACTTGCTGAAGGCATAACATTAATGGATCAATCTTCCCTCTACTTTCCTCTAAAAAAAAAAAAAATGAAGAGAGAAAGGAAAAAAGAAAGAGGGAGAGAGAGCAGGCAATGAAGAAAGAAGGAAATGGATGGGGGAAGTAAGATACATTTGTTAACTCTTGTTGGTAAATGTGTCTAAGTGGGAGGGGTAGTAGAAATTGCCCAACTAGAAGCTAATGCTGTGTCTCAATATTAGACAATATACCTAGCATAAAGCTTGACTTTGATTTCAAGAAACGTACAATAAAGCAGTGTATTAAATAATTGCAATCATTGCACTACTTTATTTAATGTGACACAAGCAAATTGCTTAGAGGAAGCTCCAAGTTGAAAAAACAAAAAGGATGAGGAGGTGGAAATATTTGTTGAAGTTAGGGATGCAGGCTGAGATGGCTGTCTACTAATTGTTTAGTAATCTCAAACTTACAATTGATACAGATCCTTTTAGTGAAAATGCTTGAGAATGGACCCGGAATAAGCAAACTGAATAGTAGCCACTTAGAAACTCAGGAAATGGAGCTTTAACTTCCTACATGCTTTCCAGCTTAGAATCCTAACCCAGGCAATAAGGATATGCAAAAGGTTTTCTTAGATGATTCCTAGAATGATTTTTATAGGATAATTCCTTCTGTGATGTAGAACAGAGCACCACCACAAGGAGGACGAAAATCAAGAGTATTAATGGAGACCTCTCCTGCCATGGAGGTACCAGGAACCAAGGTTGCCTTGTGCTCATGTGGGCTATTTTGAGTGGGCATGCATTTGCCTGGCCTCTGGCTGAGACTGAGATGTACACCACCAGTTTTTCCCTTAGAAGGGGCCCCAGGCAGCCTGTCACCATGAATCCAACATGCTGTGGCCAGTTAATTCAATTACAACACCCCCTGGAGAATGTGTAGCCAATCACTCTCCAAGAAAGGAGCAAAACAGAAAAAGAGGAATTAACTTTGCTGAAAAGCCCAGTCTTTGGGTCAAGCAAGATGTCACTTATTAATTGCTCAAGACTATTAATTGTTGAGAGGGGGACAGAAGGGGGAGATGTCTAACAGAAACCAATGCAGAGGCTTCACCTCACACAGAGAAGGCATCAAACACACCTGCCTCAATGAATTCATTTATAAAAGGGGCACACTGAGCAACCCGAGAGCAGATGGGAAGGAATACTGACCAATTCGTACATATGGCACAGATGATTTCCCCCAACTAGCTTTTCAGGGTGAAGCAGCTTTTTGTATTTAAAAGTTTCTATAGGTGGGAGGGAGCAGTTGACCAACTGAAGCTTCCCTTTGTCTAAGATGTTGATGTTATGAGTGGGACATGGGGGAAAGATGAACATATTCCAATGGAGTCTGTCAAAACAGAACTTGTAACAAAAAAAAGTGTACACTTATCCTTTTCTTTTATCTCCCTTAAGTATAGTTAAGTACTTCTCTCTGTGATCTTTAGCTGCCTCCGAGACCAAGAGTGTTCAGCAACTAACCTAGAGAAATCCATCCTACCCTTTATCTGGATGCTTAGAAGTCACTCAAGAAGGTGGAACATGGATTGGGAAAGCAATGGAGAGATACAACTGCCAGCAATTCAGCAATGTCATGAAATAGTCAGAAGGAAGAGGCAGCTAGAAGGCACCCTGTGACACAGTCTAAACTTCCCTACCAAGAGCATCATAAGACTCATTTGTAAGGGAGGGGCTGTTCATGGCTGTCTCTGGAGATAGGAATGAATATGTGGTTCCAAGCGGCTCCACTACATGCTGAGTAGGCAGCCATGCTGTCCTGAGCCTCCTGGTTGTCCTAGAAGAGAAGAACATTGTGCATCCTGTCCTTGGACCTAAGCTAATAAAGTCCCTCACTTTAACTGAAGACGATGTTACTGATAGTTGGAAGGGGTGGAGAAAGATGGATTTTGCTTGTCTGAGGTTCTATCCTTTCCTATTTGAGTGCACACTACTCATGAAGCTAACATTATGTACCAGAAAATGAGTCTCACCATGTGATTCATGAGATAGCTGGCAGGTCCTCTCTAGTCTTCTGGTGGGGATGGGATTGAACTTTCTCAGGCACAAGATTCCTGAGATAAGATTATAGAATCAGTCCTCAGGTCCCATGAACTACCACGTATGATCATATTAGTTAGGTCCAATTTGGGTAAGCTATGAGAGAGATAGGCTCAGACATAGCAAACAAAGACTCTAGTGCAAGCATTTGGGGGCATAGCCTCTAAGCCCCAATGGTGTTCCTCTTTCCCTCCTACTTAAAGATTATGTTCTATATTCTTCCTTTTCATGCTCACTGACCTCACTTGAAAAGCCTGCTGATGTCACTAGTCTACAATGTGGAATTGGGGGTGGGGTGGGTAAGTCCATCTTGACAGGAAGAGCAAATATTGGCTGCTGATTCTGTGTGGAAGTAAGGCATCTTCAATCTCTGTTTCTGACAATGCATTTCAATTCTTGTCATGTGCCTTTGTCCATGTGTATAGAGCCAAAAGCTCTGAGTGACAGCCCAAGTTACCCTGCATGAGCATATCCTAATAAACCCTCCCAAAACCCCCAACCAAAAAAAGAAAGCCACATGTCTGCTTGCCTGCGGCTTGTTATTAAGACACCTTCTCAGATTAAACACTTAAAAGCTAACCAAATGAAATAGCAATTAAGACTGAATCACCCTGTCTGCTTCTCAGATGAGCCAGTGAAGTCAGCCAGTTTTGGGGTCTTCCTTCCTTCCTTCTTTTTTTCCTTCCTTCCTTCCTTCCTTTCTTTCTTTCTTTCATTCTTTCTTTGGCATAGACAAATTTGCTGATAAAGCCTAGCATATTCTCCATATTTTGAGCTTGTACCCATCACACACAAACACACACACACACACACACACACACACACACACACACACACTTTAAACACTAGACCACTAGACAACTCAGTGGACCAACCTAAATTTTGAATGAAGTAAAACTCCAAAAGCTGTCTGAAAGTTGGGAAATCCACCAAGAAAAGGAAATAGATGTGTGTGTTCTCTCCTTCCAGCACTCTCTTTGTAAAATGTAACTTCTAAGCATTTGGGGGTTATTTGGAGGTAATGGTATTCAAAAGTATCTGATTCCACTATTAAATGGTCCAGACTCCAAGCCTACAAAATAAAAAAAAAAAAAAAAATAAAGAAAAAAGAAAGAAAACAAAAGGCACTGTTTGCAAGAGGAAGAAGGAAAACACAAAAGAGAAGGGAAATAAGCTGGGTTATGAGTGAGACACATTTATTTAAGTGTGCAATCTCCTTCACGGATCTTTCGTCTCTTGAATTTTTTCCAGTTGTGCCACTTCATTGAGACAGAAACTTAGGACTGTCCATCATGGCTATTTATCTTTAAAAACTGCTGGAAAAAAAAATGTTAGCCACCACCCGGTGTTGCCTTTCAAAAAGGGAGAAAAAAAACCCAAATTCAATGTAAACATGAGAAAAACAGTATTGGTTTTACTTGGAAGAAGGCAGACACCCCACCTGGGCAAAGCTGAGTCTAATGTCTGTAGGAAAAATCAGTTTTCAGCACCCAGGGAACCAATAGGAACAAATGCTCAGTCATGTAAAAGAAAGGTTTAATTAATATATATTTCTGTCGGCAACGTGCACATATTGGGGGTAGATTTCCATCTTCACAATAAAAATGTGTAAATCCTCTCAGCAGAGATGAGTCCCACCTCAGTCTGTATAGGAAAGCACGATAAAGGTTGCGGAAAATGGATAAAAATGTTGAAAGAAGCTCCAGTTCCTTATTAGGCGAAGATACAATATTTATTCCTTGTCTCATGGGATAATCTCCTCTGCCTATTGTCCTCCCCGTTCTCAGTGCTGATGCTTAATTTTCAAAACTTCTATATTACCAAGGGACCTACGACATCAGCCAAAGAAATTCTCAGCAAGTACAAAATCTGTTCCAGGGAGCTGCTTTTGTGCAGAGGGAAAATTTTGTTCCTACAGGTTTTTAAGTGGGTACGAGGCAAGGAGCTATCCGATCCGGGCAAAACCATTACAATTTAGATCTGTATCTACAGAGCTTTTTTTTTTTTTTTTTTCCTTTAAAAAAAAATTGGAAAATACAAGAAGTTTTGGATTTTTTTTTTTTTTCCTGATTCTTTTTTTGGAGGGGGAAATTGCATCGTAAGCTTCTGGAGAAACACAACATGTCAGCTACCTTTCCCGGACTAGTCCACGATGCGGAGGTATTATTACTTTTTTTTGTGAGCGTGCGCGCGTGTGTGTGAGTGTGTGTGAGTGTGTGGTGGCGGTGGTGGCGGCTGTGGTGGCAGCTTCCCCTGCCTCTAATCTATATTGGACCGTTACGTTTAATTATAATCTGGCTTTCGGGAGAAGTTAAGGAAGGGAAGGGGAGAAAGTTCGTTATGACATCTGTCGCCAGGGAGGGCAACTCTCCACTTTAAGCACCATTTGCGGTAATGAGGGAGAAACATAATCCTAACAATAAGGGGGGGGGGGATGAGGAGAAAGCTAGAGACACAGAAAGGATTCTCGGAAAAGCAAAGGGGCTGATGGGGGGCGGTAGGTGGACATTGGGGGATGGGGAAGAATGTACCCCTTTTGTAAGGGGCTTATTCAAGGAATGGGATACAGAGGACCGCAGAAGTGAGCAAGTTGAACAATTTTCACAGACTGGGGTTTTAAATATATATATTTAACATATGTACAATTATATATGTGGACGATGATATTTTTGAGCAACCTAGGCTGAACATCTCTCTTTGCATGGCCAGGCAGCGTTTTGGTGCCCGGGTTTGCTGCAGCTGCGAGGTTCATCCTAGTTCTCTGCCCATGGACTCTCCTGCTCATCCCCCAGTCACCTGCAAATCGGATGCCTAGCTCCAAGCACAAGCTGGGAAGGGAAGGGCGTGTGTGTGTGTGTGTGTGTGTGTGTGTGTGTGTGTGTGTGTGTGTGTGTGTCTGTCTGTCTGTCTGTCTGTCTGTCTGTCTACCCACCCGGCTGTTTGTCTGCGCGTGACTGTGTGAGTGCGAGTGTGGTATCACCCCCACCTATATAGGGTGGGGGATTCCCCCCACCCCACTCTCTGTACTGTGAAGATGAGGCCGCCCACCCCCAGTTCAACTGTTCTGGAAGTCTGCTGGGCGAAGGCTCTCACTGAGCCCTGGCTGTTCTCCCGAGCCCAGCGCGCTTGCTCTTTCTCCTAGGAGAGCCAGGGAAAGCTCCCCGACTCTGGGAGAGTGGCGCCTAGGTTGCAAAATGACAAACCTCAAGTTTTTCTGCTCTCCCCTTTCCCCCTCTTCCTTCCAGATACGTCACGACGGATCAAACAGCTACCGTTTGATGCAGCTTGGCTGTCTGGAGTCCGTAGCCAATTCCACGGTTGCCTATTCCTCCTCCTCTCCTTTAACTTACTCCACCACCGGCACCGAGTTTGCGTCCCCCTACTTCTCCACTAACCACCAGTATACCCCGCTCCACCACCAGTCGTTCCATTACGAGTTCCAGCACAGCCACCCGGCGGTCACTCCCGACGCCTACTCTCTGAACTCGCTCCACCACTCACAACAGTACTACCAGCAGATTCACCACGGGGAGCCCACCGACTTTATTAACCTGCACAATGCGCGGGCGCTCAAGTCCTCCTGCCTGGATGAGCAGAGGCGGGAGCTGGGCTGCCTCGATGCCTACCGCCGCCACGACCTGTCCCTCATGAGCCATGGCTCTCAGTATGGAATGCACCCAGATCAAAGACTCCTGCCAGGGCCCAGCCTGGGGCTGGCCGCCGCGGGAGCCGATGACTTGCAGGTAAATAAGCATGCAGCGGATTTGTCTGCGCCCTCCCCCTCGCCCTCCCCCTCCCTCTCTCAGTGCTCTGAATGTAAGTCTCTCTCTCTCTCTCTCTCTCTCTCTCTCTCTCACACACACACACACACACACACACACACACACACACACACACACACACACGACTTAGGGAAAGTCATCAAATTGCAGGAGGACCATGCCCACTAGGTTCCTCTCATTGGATCAATAGCTGCAGCCCCTATTTGGGGCCAGTCCTCAAAAGTCTTTTATGAATCTACATCTCTGATTCTGAGAGGGTCAGTGTGTGAGGCCAGTCGAGCTGGGTATGAATCTACCGGTCTCAGAGCAAGACCCTAAAAGCTGACGACCAGTTAATCGTACACCCCAATTTCCACCATTTACAGGGTCTATGCTCATATTTCCATCGCTGGCCTAGACAGAACCTGTAGGGGAATCTGCTAATTCGTGGAGGCAGAGAGGTCGTTCTCAAGAACGCGTTGGAACACACGCTTGAGCAAAAGTTTCACAAGCATTAGATGGCTGTGTCAAGTAAGGAGCCACAAAAGAAAGCCTCAAAACTCAGCCCCAATCAAATAATTTCACAATGCACTTCACCAGAGTGTAGCTGCAGTTTTCTCTGCCTGAGAAGACCCGAGCTGGTAGCCCAGCAGGAAGCTGTATGTCTTTACTCTTTTTCTCTTCTGGTCACTCCATATTATGTAAGATGCAACTCCAACTCGTTATACTGTCAGAAATGAGGAAATAAAGGGAGCAAGATGCATAGGGGGGGGAAAGCCGGAAGGAAAAAAAAAAAAAGGAAGGTACTGGGTGACAGGGAGGAAGGGAAAGAGAATAGAAATGAATTCAGACATAGCAAAGAACACCATTTAATCAACTCTCTCACTTTCTTAACACTGTTTTGCACATTCGTCGCCAACAATAGAATTCTTAATTAAGTGATGCCATTGTCTTAGACACATTTCAAATCAATAAACCCACAAAGGTCTAGAGTAAGAACCCAAAAGAGTCAAACTTGAACTTTCTTTTAGTGGGAAGCACCTCCTTCCTTTTTCAGTCTGCACGAAACTTGCCATCTCCACACTCCCCTGAAGATTGGGAAGATATTCCAGGAGTACAACTTGGAGACAGAAGAGGTCTCTTGTTGCGCACGGAATATCTTTCCCCCTCCTCTACCCCTGAGCAAGAGATTAATTTTAAATTAATGTGAAAGCCCTTACAGTTCCAACAAAGAGCCATAAGCACATGATTCGTGCACAAGAAAAAAGATTTCAGTCCTTAAAGCTTGACTTGCTACACTTACATTCACAAGATAATTTTATACGCTTAGGGCATTTTTGTACGTTTTTCACAAGGATCTCCTTATGTCTCAGAAGGGAAAAAAAATCTTCCATTCAATGCTTAGCTCAACTAAAACCTATTTACTCCTTTTAATAGCCACGTCTGCTGCTGATTTTTTTGTATCTGTACAAATTTTTTTTCTGTGCTAGGCACAAAGCTGGGCATTTTTCAAAAGAGAGGATTAGAACATTTGCAAGCACTGGACAAAGACAGAATCCTGTGCAAAAGGACACCGTAGTTTATCCAATTTTCGACTTAGTGCCATTCAACTGGTCATTTATGCAATGTCATCTGACCAAACAGCATGTATTGCTTATGGGGGGGGGGAGTTTGTTAAGTGAGGAGACCAAGATCATTTTCTGCTGAGAAAATAAACATCTTAACAGTGCGTCAGAGAGTGAGAAAGGGAATTGGTGCACTTCCTTGGAGAGTTTAGGTGTCCTTTACATTTTACACTTCAAATATCTAAAAATCTTTACTGCAGTCTATTTCTTATATATTTATTCTTCCTTTTCCTTTTGTTACTTGTGTTGAGATAATATTACTCACACCGAGGAAGGAAATGTTTTAAGATACTAGATGAAAGAGTATGGTGTGCGATGTGTGTAAGCATGTATGGTCATAAAGACATCTATATGTGTATATACGTGCATGTATTATAGTATGTATGAAGAGTAAGACAAGTTTATAAATCTATAAAGTTATTCTGCTCTTCTGGATGTACTGAGCAGAATGAAAAAGAAAGAACCATAGCAACATTTAAAACAAGAGCCAAGAGGGAGTGTGTGGGGGAAACCCGTCTCTCTCCTTTTATTTCTTCCTTTTTAAAACATTCATCAGCATATGCCTCATTTCAAATGCAACAAATGTAAATATACTTTTCCCTGCACAGAATTTTAAGTGAAAGTCCAATGGTTTAGAGGGCGGTCTAAGTCTGCCTAACAGATGCAAACGGTCTTGTGGCTTCAGTTCCATCTTTGAGTCCCCTAAAAAGATTTGCTATGGCCAACAAAGGAAACTGTCACACCTTTTCCCATCACTGCTCTAATTTATGCTCAGTCTCCAAGTTTTTTTTTCCATATTGATTTGATAATCACTTTAAGGCAGAACATTTAAAATAAGAAAGAGCTGGTGAGGAGGTTGAAAGAGGGGGGGTCTTACAGGCCTGCCTCAATATGGTGAAAATGGGGAGGCAAAGGGAGCCAGGGCTGTAAAGGTTGTTTTGTAAAGTGGGTTTTTATTATGCACCGACTCTCTCCGCATTTACTTAACTCTTCACGGGCTGTTGGGTAGGTTAACACCCTTCAAGGCCTCTTTCATGTCCAATACCTCGTTTGTTTGTAGAGGAAAATGAGCTTTTAACACGTTTTGATTCAGAAGGGAGTAAAAGACAGACACAAAGAGAAATTTTTATTTTTCATAATGAGAAATCAGCAAATCCTCTCCAGTTTCCCAGTTCAAATGATCACTCAGCACCTTGGGAGCTTGGAGAGCTCCAGAGAGTGAACCTGAAGGAGTTTCCTCCATGAGACCCATTTTGGAGAGGCTAATTCCATGTTCCTGCTTTGGGGGAAAACAGAATCCTTAGAAGATATTCTCATTCCTTCACGTGAAATATTTTTTTCCTCTGAACCTCCAAAGAAATTCATGATTCCAGACATAACACTTAAGCTATAATTTTCTTCACCCTGAAAGTGGTGAGCATGTGTTGCCTGTGTACATGCTGTGTCCCTTCTCGGGGACCCAAAGGACATCTCATCCTTTTAGGTCCAAATGAAAATCTCTTAAGGCCTCTGAAGTGAGTTATTGGGGAGTGATATAAAATGCATACCTTAAGATGAATACAAGTTTCAGATTGTAGTTTCTCTTAAAATACTTCCCCTAAAATGTTGTTTGCTGAATGATGCCTTCCATGGCCTCCCTAGACAGAAGTCAGAGATACACTAGTCTGAAATATTTCACCCACATGGTCATGGCTCTCATATTTTAATGTTTCTGTGTCCTTTTCTTTTATGAAGGGGTCTGTGGAAGCCCAGTGTGGGATTGTTCTCAATGGCCAAGGGGGAGTCATAAGAAGAGGTGAGTAGGACCAACTTGACCTCGGTTCCTTTGTTTTGATGATCTGGGGAGACTGCAAACATCAGGTTCTTTGTTAAGGGGAAAAAAATAAACAAACCAAAAAGCAGAATTATGTTAGGTAGTTATGCCAGTTCCATACAAGCATATCTACATTTAAAAGCTTCCTTTCTTCCAATGACACTGTAGTACCAGGTAACTTCCAAGACTTAAGCTAGGAACTATCTCTTACTCCACACAGAATGGCTACAGAATCAAAGTTAGGGAGAAAATTGCTGGGATCAAAAACAAAAGTTTTCACACTTCTTTCCCTTCACCAATACCAAGTCCTGGAGCAAGATTTCTGGTTTCTTTTAGACCTAATGTGCCAGCCACAGCCTGGGTGTTTGGGGTGATGGTGTGAGCTATGGGCCTTGAGGGATCCTTTGAAAGGGCTGTATCATTGAGGCTTTCCAGGAGGCTAATGAGTCACCAATATTGTAGCTGCCTTATTTTTTTCGAAGCGTCCAGAAGATTTCTTTCTTTAATGGAGGGTAGGAGGAGGAGGTAGTGTTAAGTGTAGTGGATAAAGCTTTCTTGTTCCCATCTGTTGAGGAAAACATCTGAATCCAGAGTTACCCATGGCATTGGAAAGGGGGGTGAGGCGAGAGAAGAGAGCTGTTGCATTCAGCCAAAGCACTGAAGGGGGGCTGTATCTCAGATGTTTCATTTTGACAAAAGGTTTTGAACTATGACATTCACAGGGCCTCAAGGCAGTGCAGATTTTGCTGCCTTCCCTGCTTAACTGTACCCTGAGCCTCTGAAGTTTATTTCCCTAGCATGCTCAGTAACCCGAGGAGCACATGAGGCAAGAGACCAGCTGTTATCCTAACTTCATACGAATTAATAAGATGTGGTCTATTCACCAAGACTAATTCCTGCTTCAGGGCCACAGTTGTCTCTAGTAACCAAACCATTAAACTTCCGATGGAACCAAAGCTGTCCCTTAGTGCCTCTCCACGTCTCTCAAAGTGTGTGGAATGATTTGCTTTTTGGGAAGGAGTAGTGTACTCTTCAAAAGCTATGGAATATTTTGTGTTTCTGTGCAGATCTCATGACCCAGTATCCCCTATAAACTCCAGAAGATAAAGCAAAGGATGCTTATCTTTGTGAACTTGGTTGTTTCAAAAAAGTGTGTGCTTGGAATTTATGTTGAATTTAAAAGAACTGCTCCAATATTTTGCTGCACTTTTCAATATTTCAAATTTGTTTTTTAGAATACGGCTAGCCATCCCTCTTTATAGATATTAAAAAGGAACAACATTAAGCTTTCCAGCCAGGCCTGTATTCAGCCTTACTGGAATAACAAAACAGAGATAAGTTTGTGAATATTAAATTTGAATGTTCACAACTGTTGGAAGTAAAATATACACAGTGAAAGGGAGGCTCAGTAAGTTGATGATTGGGGTCTGTTGGGAAGGAAAAACACTAAAGATGAGGCCAAGCGCTCAGGGCGCACAGACACCGTGGTGCTGAAGGACAGCGCCACTAATTAGCGAAAGAAGCCGGCTGCTAGGCAAGCCGAGCTTTTCTGCTGGGGTTCGTACTTTCTACTTGTATTTGCTAAAGTACCTCCCACAACGCTTGACTATCACATCCAAATGGTTATAGCATAATTGACAGGCTGAAATCCTGAAATCCGGGCTGGGCGCTGGCTGTAGATGCCGTGTAATCAATAAAGTTTCCAATGAGAGTTAATAACACTTCCTTTTCTTCTGGCCATCCAAAAGGAACTAAGCTTTGAGATGTCTAAAAGATGAAAGCGCGCGCTTACTTTATGCTTGGGTGATGTTTCCTTGATTTTGTACAATTCGGTACCTGTTGGTTTCACTTTCTAAAATCCTTCTCTTAGTCTGCTATTTTAAACCAAGCATGTATTGTGTAGGAGAAAAGTGCAGTTCCCAAGGAAAAGAACCTGGACCTTCAGAGTTAGGCAACAACAAAATCTGTAGTCCCCACCTGTGAGTAATTCAGATCCCAACATCTGAGCACTATTTCCCATTCCCACATGTCTTACAGGACAGGAGCAGGGTGTGCAAGTGGCCGTGTGTGTGTGTGTGTGTGTGTGTGTGTGTGTGTGTGTACGTGCGTGTTGGCTATCAGTATTCATAATTTCCAAGTGGATAGCAAGGAGTTTTCCATTTTGTCAACACTGGCAAGACCCTAATGTCAAAATACCTAGGAAACCCCTTCTCTTGGTTGGCATGGCTCTGTGCACACCCCAAAAAGCTCCTAGTGCCAATAACTCAGGCCATCAGAAATAGAACATCTAATTCTTAAGTCCCTTCCCATTCCTCCTAGGGTGACAATGTCTATGCTTCACAAGCTGATCTCCCTTAAAGTAAGAGCCTTTGTGCTCCCCATTTGCACACACATCTCTATTGCTCTGAAGCCAGCAAAATCTGCACTGCACTGTGGCCCTGTGAATGTCATAGTTCTTGAGTATATTTACATTCCTGGTAATAATCAGCATTTACAATACTAGAAAAAAAATATGCTTCGCTTCGCAAGACACTCCCTCCCAAGGTCTGCCTTGAGGAAAGATACGTGCCACTTTGTGGTACCCGAGGTGGGTAGAAAGAAGCTGGCCTGGATTGCAGAGGGTGGAGAGATGAGGAGTCATCATTCACTAGGTCTGTAGTAAAGAACAAAATGTCATTTCTGAGACTCACTTTGTTAAGTGTCCATTACATTTTCTTTTTCTGCGTGTAAACGACGGTCTGATAGCAAAAGATAAGGCGGGCAGACCAGGAAGGTAGCAGGGAGGTAATTACCACCTAGATAAAATATTTGCGGCCGCCTCGGAGGCCCAGCTCCCTGCGCGCTCACTCCCGGTTAATGGTGTGCACGATTTCGCCCGCAGCTCCGCCGCTCCGACCATCAGAACCAATAATCTTTACTTTACCCTGCACTTGCGTATCGATAGCTTCTTTCGCCCCGGGCATTGGCTTTGATATGTTAATATTTCTGAGTAACAAATTCTGCAGAGATCATATTAATGTTGTTCGTACAGAGTGGAGCTTTGCCTTCGTTGAATATTCAGACAGTGGGTTTCAAAAGGCCTCTCTTGAAGGAACGGGGCTTCTATTTACAGGAATCGCCTATGTTTTTAATCATTTAATGAAAAGAAAGAAAGGAAAGCCCACTCTTTTTTTTTTTTTTTTTTTTTTTTTTTTTCCTGGTGACTCTTCTGAGGCATCCTGGTGGCCCCTCCCTTTTGTCAGACACCCAGGTCCTTTTATTTCTTTCTGAGTATTTATTAATAAAATGTTGATGAGGACCACGGCAGTGATGAAGCTAATCATGAATGGCCTCAGAATGGAATCACGATATGGGGTTCACTCGGATAAAGGGGATCTGGCCTTTGCACAGGCTTGAAGATGAGAGGACTTCCTGTGTGGGGGGTGGAAAGTGACTCCTTGGCCCTGATCTCTTTTGTGTAACCGGGATGGCAAACTAAAAGAAAAAAAAAAGGGGGGAGGGGGGTGAAAAAAGTGTAGAGGGGCAGCGCCCTTGTTTCCGCTTTGTGATCATCTTGCCTTGCTGCCCCAGGCTAATTTCCGAAGCTTAAATACCGCTGTAGCCTCTGGGCCACGCGGAGAGGGAAGGAACCTACCGGCCACTTGCAGGCAAGAGCGCTTTCCCCGATTGCCCTTGGCTACACAAAATACAAACTACTTTGAATCAAAACATTTGGGGGGAATTAATATGATTTGAACTGTGCACGTTTTAAGGGAGCGGGAGGGTATCAGATCGCTGAGGCGACTGGCTCGCTAAAGCTGGGGCGTTTGTACCGCTGTGCAAACATTGTCCGATCTGATTTAATTTTTCTTCAAAATAAGTCCTTCTGCCAATGCAGCCTTAGCTTCAACCGTCCTGTCTACCAATAATAGATAGCACAGAACTGATACTTTGTATTTTGTCGCCCTTACAGCGACTGGCCTGCTCCTCCTCAGGAGGACGCGTGCGCCTTGCTTTGGTTTTTTTCAGGACCCTCCTGGGTCTTGCTTGGACCTTGGGATCTCAGAGTTGTAGCTTTTGGCAGCTTCTAGAAGGGGCAAAACAGAAGATGAGCGGGTAGCTTAATCTCTCTTCTTTTGTCAGCATCCCCTCAGTGAGCCGCTATCTCGAACCTCTCCTAGTTAAGAGGGCTCAAACTCATTTCTTAGGGTCTTCAACCTTTGTGAATGAAAACAGAGCAGGTGACACACTGGACACTTCACCCACTCTCCTCACGCTAAAATGAGCATACTTACGACTTGAAATTCTATCTCTTTTCCCTATCCTCTGAAACGCGTAAGCCAAGGCATCTAGAAGCATGGTTTGTTGGACAGTGATTTGTCCCGAGGAAGGAAGTATTTCGCCGCCGCCCCCCCCCCGTCCTTCCACTCCCCCCCCCCGCTCTGGAAAAAATCACCAGGGTCCAAAGTACGTTAAGCTTTTGGAAGTCAGAATTAATCCCTGAGCACACACTACAAGGAAGCAGCTATCTGCCCCTTACCCAGTTCTGTTTCTTTTGTTCTGCTGGGACGCAGTGCTGGCAGGAGGGAGCAGCAGCTACCTGAAATAGCAACCAACACCTGTAATAACACATCCCTCATCCGAACAGCACAATTCGCTGCTGACACACCATCAAAGGCCTACGCGATGGCAACTCTGTTCCCACCTCTTTGCTGTTCGATTACAATTAGTACGCGCTGCCATAGGAGAAGGGGGGAATCCCACGGGAGGGGGCACAGAGTTGGTAAGGGGAGAAAGGCTAGAGGGAGAGAGCCCAGAAAGATCCTACCCCACCTGTAGGACAAGAGCACCTCCCGGAAATGAAACCGCAAAACAAACAGGGACAGGAAACTCCTGTAACCGGTTACACATTTTTAATGTGTCAAAAAAAAAAAAAAAAAAAAAAAAAAGCGATCACTGGAGATGAAGAAGGGGAAGAAAAATTCCCCACCGTTTGTATTTCTTTCATTTGAATTGTAAACATCTGTTTGGCTGTAAGGCGAACAGAACATTTATTTTGCTCCTAAGAGTTGGTCTAATTATGTCAACACCAACGTTGGGGGGGGGGGCGAGTGGGGCGGTGCTGAGGTGCTGTGGCTTTGCACTGGGGCCTAGCAAGCCCAGTGAAGCAGGCTAGGAAGTATTGACCAGAGGCGCCAGGGGGCCTCTTGACACAGCTGAGTGTGTTCTAGGGATGGGTGGGGCACAGAGACTCAGCACAGTTGTGCAGATGCTGCTCCTTGGAGATAACCACTCCTGTCTGATCTGCTCTAAGCGTCTAGTGTGAGAAGAGACTTTTCAGCATTTGGTTTCCCATTAGGTTGCAGTGCAAGCAATGGGTAAATGGGCATCAAACTTCGGTGCTTACTCTTTGGGATGTGGTAGCTGCTTAGCATAGAGTTGATACTGAGTATCATTACTCAGGCTGCTGAATACGAATCTGTTCACTTCCTGTAACACATCATCAATTATGGGCAGAAGGAGAATAGGTGTGGACAGCTTCAGTTTTCAAGTAAACCGATTAAGAAAGAATTGTCCTCCAAGCTAGTATGCCATGTTCCTACTTGTCACCAATGCCTTTCCCACCAACCCGTGGTCTGAAGAGGACAGTTCCCCAAGGAACTCCAGCCTTCTTCAAGCTATTCAGGATTGAGCAGGGCATGAAGGACAGTCTAAACCTGTGTTATTGTGCACCAGGTGTAGTGATAACTACAGAATTTGGCTGATCTCTCCCTGTTGCTTTGGCAGAATTGTGTCTTTTATTAAAAAAAATAAAAGGCATGCCCCAAACAAGAGATCTAGACTAGATCATTCTTAACTTACATAGCTACCCATTAGAACTTACGGATTCACAAGAAATAGGAATGGTCTCCAAATTTACAAATGTTGACCTCCCTAGAAATACTGCTTCTCTGTACAGTATGAATGTGGAAGAGAGAACTCCCGAGAAGTTCTGCACAACCTATTTGACTGTCATCCCCAGCTGGATGACAGAAAGTGAATATCACCCATTCTCTGTGAGAGCTGAGGGGTTTCAGAGGCACCATGAGGACTTTGAGTGGGGAGCACAGAATGACGGCTTTTAATAGCTTGGTGAAGTCCATTTCTGATCATCCCCTGAGTTCTCATCATCACTGTTTGTAGTCTCCATTCCCTTAGCTAGGTTCTACCACATCACTACCTTAGTTACAAAGGCAAAACCCTGGCTATCGTGTCTTTGTTTTATTCTCTGCCCTCCTGAAAAGAAACCCACTGGGAAGAAAGATATCAGGTTCCCCAAGTTGATGTAAACTCTACAAGTTGCCCAGTCTTTAGCCAGAATAAGAGAGTTCCCCAAGGCTGCAACGATGCCACGTATCAAAGCAACAGAAATTCCCTTTAAAGATTCCGTGACATAAAAAATAAAAGAGTCTAGAGTTGATGGATAATCCTGAATACAAAATAAATCCTTGAGGCAATTCGTGTGTGCATAAAGCATATTGTTAATATGCAGACTGTGTTACTTACCTAATACATGGCTACTTTAACATAAACCAGAAGCCCAACCTAGATGAAGGAGCAAAACACCCAGGGCCTCCAGAGTTCACAAATGACTAGGTAGCCTACCCAGAAGATGCCCAGGGAACAGCCTACTTTCAACTAAACCAAAAAGTGATAGATTTTGAATGCAAGAAAAACTAGACATAACTCCTTTTTCTAAAATTGTGACTATCATTTTCTCGATAAATTGGGTTACTAAGGACGGGAAAAGTCTAAAGTTGTATGGTTCCATTTTCCTAGCAGACAGAAGAAAAGAAAAGATAAAAGAACAAAAGCAAGCAAGCAAGCAAACAAACAAACAACAACAACAACAACAAAAAACCCACAACCCCTGTAAATGCTCAGACACTTAAGACTAATTCTTTTTCTTTGGTAAATTACTGATGTGTACAGGAGCGATCATAAATGTTAAACTATGTGTTTGCTTCTGATTCATAGTAACCGCAGGTAGAGACCTCCTCTCAGAAGTAGAGTGGATGGATATTGTATACGAACATTTATTTTTATTAAGTTTTCATAGTTTCCTTCACACTGACCTAAATCCTCAAGCAATCAGTGTCATGACTCTGTCAGTCTGACCATAAAATCCAGATTCACTGAAATTACCTTGATTTTTAGTTCATTTCAACTTTTGAGGAGTTATTTTCCTCTATAAGTGCACAGTGCAAGAATTAATGAAAGTGAATGAGTAGAGAGCCACAGCCCCTAAGAATCTGTGAAATTTCCTTAGCATTGTTGCTATTGTATTACTTTTGAGATCCATCAGAAATTCAAAGTGGGAAAGAATTGGTAAATTTGTTCCCACCTGCTAAAGGAGACAGTTTACAGTTTTTACACATTTGACTCCAAGAAAAGGGTTTTAGTTCAACGGTTGACAGAACTTCTGACCTCTCGGACTTTAAAACCTAGGTCTCATTTCCAGATAATGGCATGGGGGAATTTTCTTTTGGAATCCACCATAGACTTTTGCCACAATGTCTTGACATCTGTCTTCCCTCCCTTTTGTATTGTCAAAACCTTGAGCCCTACATATTGGCTCAGAGTTGTTAAGGGAGAAAGACCTTCATCACTAGCAATTTCAAAGCTGGCTTAGGTCGGAGGTTACTTACTGGAGCATAGGCAACTTCTCAGTGGCTGCACTATTGCAGGGATTATACTATGTCTACCAGCAACCATCAGCTGTCCCTCCTTTGTCCGTGCTCCAGTAAATAACCCCACATCCATGCTTATGTAAGCAACCATAATTAAATATTAAATTCAGGGTGCTCTCCCTCTCTCTCTCTCTCTCTCTCTCTCTCTCTCTCTCTCTCTCTCTCTCTCACACACACACACACAGAGATTTTGTAGGAAATATTTTGAAAAGAAAATACAGTTTGAATTGGAATTTGGCAATGAACCTTGAAAACTGCCCTCAGAGGTCTTGGAGCGTATGAAGACAGCCTTACATCCCAAGTTCATACATCTATTATCTTAGTAAGGTGGGCTTTGTCTGGGAATGTTTGCAGTAAGTTAGCAATTAGGCATCAAGAAACTATGTCCAGTGATACTCACCCTTGAGTGGGGGCTGCCTGAGGTTAGAGAATGGAGTATGCTACTTTTGCAATGGTGTGAGACTCAAGAGGCTCTGTAGAACTTGAAGATAGGAATCCCTGTTCCAGGAACTCTATCATGGTAAAAGTGTTTGGTGACGTTGTTCTTAATGGTTACCACTGCCTGCACCCTAACAGTAATGATGAAGTGATTGTCATAATGATAATGCATTAGTTAGTGCAGGTAACTCGATAACTGTGGCTCTTACACCGTGTTTGCCTACCTGTGCTAACAATGCAGATAGAAGTAAAGATTTGACTGTGTTGTCACCTGTATAGATTGGAAATTTCTGGCAATGAGCAGGTAATTTTCAGTGCACATGGGGATTGGTGCCTTTAGTTGGTGCAAAAATAAGAGGAGGAAGAAGGTAATTTCAAACAGTTTGGGGGAAAAAAGCAGGCATCAAAATTTTCAATCTATTCTGTATGTGTGCCCAATCATAGGTAACTGTGAACAATTAGCTATTACTACTTCTCTGAGGTTAACTCTTGAATTGGGGGCATTAACATACTGGTGTGTTTCTTGATGTAACAATGTTAAAATTAACACTGTAGAGGCAGCCTGTGTTGTAGAAGGTGCTGATTTTTGTCTAGAATTACAATGTTACACACAGATTCATTTTCTGTGTGATGTTCAAAATCCTAATTAGTTCTTGGAAGGATACCTTTTGATTGGCCTGACATGATGTAAATGGAGGAGAGACACAGCTGTTGCCATGCATCTCTTAATTCCGCCTGCCTTTCCATTCACTATTACTGAAGCACATTTTTTTTTTCTTTCCCAAGGTGGCACCTGTGTGGTCAACCCCACAGACTTGTTTTGCTCTGTTCCTGGTCGTCTGTCCCTTCTCAGTTCAACTTCCAAATACAAGGTGACCATTGCTGAGGTAAAGAGGCGCCTCTCACCACCTGAGTGCCTCAATGCTTCACTCCTGGGAGGCATTCTGAGGAGGTAAGATGAGGCTGTCTCCTGCCACCACATCTCTAGTAACTGAGCCAAGGCCACTCTTGAGCCTCTTGTCTTTCTATCCTCCTTACTTTGTGGCATCATCCCCATGAAATCAAGTTGGCTCATAATTTCTTCCAAGGGTTACCTAACCTGTCTTAATTTTCATTTGATTCTGGACAGAGCAAAATCCAAGAATGGTGGTCGCTGCCTACGAGAGAAGCTGGACAGGCTTGGCTTAAATCTGCCAGCTGGAAGACGGAAAGCAGCCAATGTCACCCTGCTCACTTCCTTAGTGGAAGGTATGGCTTTAATGTTCTTGAAGAAATAACGGGACACTGGTCTCAGTGGTTCATGTTACTGCTTTGCTGTAGTTCTGTTAAGGGTGATAGTTAACGACAATAGAACTTCCTCACTAGTTCTGACAATGATTGGCTTTGCCTTAAGAGAAAACATAGCTAATTTGTGGGATATCAATTGGCCTATTAAGCTTGGCAATCACAGGGAAGATAGAAGAAGGCAATGGAAGATGTGTGCTACTTCTCCAAGCATTCCACAGATAACAGCAGCAAGGCCATGGCGTTCTCATTTCCTTATTAGCTTAGAGTTTGAATAAATACAGTTGACTCCATTGTTACACAGTTCAAGGTCCATAGGATAAACAACTTTGCAAAGTTAATAATGTTACGGGGCCAGAAAGCACATTGCATTAAATGTTAAGGACATTTTGACAGGGCCTCACTGTGTAGCTTTAACTGGCCTATACATTACAGAGATCTGTCTGCCTCTGCCTCTGCCTCTCCAATGCTGGGATTAAAGGCATAGGTCACCATACTCAGAAGCTTGTAGACATTCTTAAAGCACATCAAAACTGACGCTTCTGTGAAGGGGCAAACTGAGTCAGGGAGAGCTTGAGGTTAAGAAGGTCTATAGAGGGAGGTAGAAATGTACTGCCAAGAGTTACTTTGTTTCTTTTGTGTTTTTCCCTTGTTTCTACTGAAAACCCTGACCCTCACATTTTCACACAAGCTTTTTCTAAAGAGCAGCTCCACTGAGTAACAAGGTTTTGGGGGGATTTGAATGCCAGAGGAACTAGAGTTATAGACAGTCATGAGTCACAAGTATGGGTGCTAAAGGGGGTTTAAAAATCCACCACTGTGGGTTTGGGGGGATTCTAAAAACCCATAGTGTGGGTGCTTTCTTTCTTTGCCAAGGGTTTTAAGAACACGCCTGGGAGACTATCATTACATCAGTTAGCTTGTACTTACAATACTCTAGGGAGTGGTGAGTGAAAAGCATAAGTTATCACAATGACCTTTCCAATATTATACATGTGTAGCATGTATTTGTGTAACATGTTAGCCAGATATTGGGCACACACAATAGTAATCTAGCTTGGGAGACTGGTAGGAGGCCAGTCTGCACTATACAGTAAATTCCAGAATACCTTGGACTACTGAGCAAATTACCATTAACAGCAACAACAAACAAAACAAAAACCCAAGAGGAAATATATTGACTGTACTCTCAACATTTGTCTTGACAAAAGATAGCTTTGTTAATTCTGTTATCAATAGTTGTCTTTGTTTTTGTTTGATGTGTTTGTTTTGCTTTGGTATTTTAAGACAAGGTCTCTCTGTCTTGGAAAGATTAGCCGGAAACTCTCCCCACAACCTCCTGAGCCATAAGATTATAGCTATCCACCAGTAAGCCCAGCTTCATAACAGTTACCTTTGCTCCCTGCACCAACAGTAACAACAACAACAACCACAGCTGTAAGACCTTTGACAGCAAACATTTCAGTTTAATCGAAGTTACTCTTAGAGGTTGGCCATTGTTGACTGAACTCTGAAGTAACCCAAATTCCAGACTTTGAATTCTGACATAATACTTCAAAGTCTGGTATTCTGGATTATTTTGAGTTTAGAATTTCATGTTAGAAATATTCAACTAGTCATTTTATGAAAGTGTTTAAAAACCTGAATAGGAACTTTCAAAATAAAAAACACAGTGGGTCCAAGCATTGGGGGTAAAGGATAGTTGGCCTGTACTGTCCTGAATCTTGCTTTGTGTTTGCTGCTGCTGAGAACTGATCTGTGACAGAAACAACTTACTTATTACCCACATATATGTATGTATGTATGTATGTATGTATGTATGTACATGCAAAGCTACAAGGACATGACTAATTATTGACTAAAAATGAGCTAGCGTCCTGCTCATTTAAAGTAAAAATACCTTTTAAAAGATAATTACTGGTTTTAAAGAGGGAAAACAAGTAGATATAATACCAGAGATCTGAGACTCATATAAATGGAAGACTATGAGTAATTCATTCCTCCCACCCCAGGAATTCTAAAACTATTTTAACTATCTAAAACTTGTCTACTATTTCAAGATTTATTTATTTTTAATTAATGTGGACAACTGTCTTTCCTGAATGTATATTTATGTACCATGCATGCTTGGTACCTGGTGGGGTTATAAAAGGGCATTGGATCCCTTGGAACTGGAGTTACAGACAGTTGTGAGTCACTACTGTGGGCGCTAAGAATCAAACCTCATACTCTGGGAGAGCAGCCAGTTCTCTTAACTGTTGATCCATTTCTTCATCCCCTCTCTCAACTTTCTTTTGAACCTAGAATCTTGTGGAAGAGGTTATGCTATTCCTTCACCATTGTCTATCCACGTCTCCTTTATCTCCTGGATTTTCTACATTATCCATGCGTGCATCTTAATGACCAGGACCTAGCCACTTGGGTTCTTTGAAAGACCTCTTAAGACCAGGCTTGAAACTCTTAAAGCTAACAGACAAGATGAGATTAGTACTTTTTCAAACACCTATGTGACCCAGTATATGAGTGAGGGTCAGTCATCCCTCATAGTTTGGTTTAATACTTGACTACAAAAAAGACAAGATCATATTCCCATGTAACACATGCATTTTTATCTATGTAAATTTAAATACACAGTTACGGATTAAGCACAACTTCTAACATCTAGATTATGAGCTTTTGTCTTTGTTTCCATTTCTCCTTCTTACTTATACTGCTATAAATTTTTAGTTGTCCATATCAGTATCTGGAGTACAAAAGAGATGTCTGTCTTTAGAATATAATAACGGTTTAAAGTTACTTAATTTAGTGGGTTTGTCTTCCTGAAGAGACACAAAACAATTCCAGAGCCTTCTCCCTCTAGAAAACATTCAGAGCCCTCAGCCACGGAATTCCTGTTGTCGTTTTTTGACAGTTTTGCTCTGTTTTGCAGTTCACACTATAACAGACTTTGCAGAGTTGCTTGTTCAAAGATGTAGAAGGAGTCCATGATTTAGTCATTGCTGTCCATCACCTTTTCTTGCCTTCAGTTTCTTACAGTCATCAGCATTTAGGGTGGGAAGGGGGTTCCGTTCACCAGAGTGGAAGGCTTTATGGATCCGTCTTGCTGCTTTTGTGGGAGCTCACAGCTTTGTCAGTCAATCTCTGAAGTTCCAGAGCACCACTCATTTAAGTTGTTTGCTATAAATGCTCAGAATAGCAGTTGTGAGGGAGGCCAAGTTCTCATATTTACTTTTCCCTCTTCCTCTTCCTCCGCCTCTGTCTCTACTCCCCCTCCTCTCTCAACAATGAGGAGCATCAGCCAAAGGAATGTTTTATTTCCAAAGACTGTGTATGACTTCCCTTCAGTCCCTGTTAGTTGGAACCTCTTAGTATTGTTGCTGTCTTCTTTAGCTTCAAGTACGTGAATTTCCAGACCTACTCTGTTTCCTACCTCACTGGAACTAGTGTAGCACTTACAAAATCTGTTAATTCTTGGGGCTAGTTCCTTGACCTTCTAAGAACAATATCGTTTTTTAAAATTCATATGGGACTTGGAATGGTTGGTTGGCCTGTCTGTGTTCCATTTTCCTCACTTACAAACAAGGATTGTAGTATCTACAATAACTAGGGGTGTTCTAGTTGCTACACCTGATGTTTCCCGTCCTGTGGTCAGCAGCTTAACACGAGGGAAGCTTGCCTTCTTTTTGGCCCCAGCAGTCAGACACATTCCTCATCAGTAGTCTTTCTATCACAGTCTCATCAGGGACCAAGACCCCAGAGCTCTTTTCTGTCTGTAACTGCACATGTCTCTATGTCCCAAGAATCTGTCATCATGCCCCGTCTGCTATTTACCACTTGAAAAATCCATTACTTGGTCAGACCTAAGTGTAGAGTAAGCTCTGGCTGTGTTAGAAAACTCTCTCTCTCTCTCTCTCTCTCTCTCTCTCTCTCTCTCTCTCTCTCTGAGCGTGTGTGTGTGTGTGTGTGTGTGTGTGTGTGTGTGTGTGTGTAAAGCTTTCCCTGCAATACCTCAAGAATATATAAAGAAAAGAGCCGAGTGGCCAAGGGTTAATAACATGGCTCATGGCTCAGCGGGTAGAGATGCCTGACACCAAGACTCATGACCTGAATTTGATCACCTGACTTGCAGAGAAATGCTGTAACACATTCACCTTCAACCCTCCCATGGGGGGGGACACATTTAAATGTAATGAATTTCTTTACCATAATATATATTCTCAAAAAGATAATGTTTTGATAGTCTAACACCATATATGCACAACACTGTATTAGATGACATTAACTTTAATTAAACACACCACCATGGTGGCACAGAAGCGGCTAAGGTTGATTAATTATTACACTCTAGTTTTCTTTCATCTAAGCCATAAAGAGTGATGAGTGTGGCTTCTGGGGAAAAGTGAGCCTGTGTGAAGTCACGTCTACCTACAGCTTACTACAGGGAAATACATCAGTCACTGTAAGTGCAGCAACTTACTCATGGGGTCATGGTGAGAACCCAGCACAGTATATGCAAACCCCTGAGCATGAGGAGCAGGCCAAAGGAGCACTCAGTATGTCTTAGTAATCACGATTCTCAAACAAGGAAACCAAAGCAAAGAGATTAACTGTTCTGTGTAGGATTAAACAGTTGGAGACTACAGGGAGAAGAGTCCAGACAGTCCTTCAAGCTTTGCAAACCCTAAGTCTGTTTTCCATTTTGATTTGTTTTTGCTGCATAGTGAGCTGCCCCAAACTCAATTCTTAACTTGAGAGAACAGGCTCAGGCTGCAATCTTTTTTAACCTTGCTATTCCTGTGAACTTTAAGCAGGCATTTCCACCTCTCTTATATTTTTGGTTGTGAGCCTAGCCTCTAATGGCTGAGCCATCTCTCTCGAACCCATCCGCCTCTCTTATACCCATTATCAACTATAAGGTTGTAAAATCTTGCTAAACCTTCTGCCACTTAATTCCCCAGAGCGCT